CTGTCCCCAAACAGTTTCTCATAAGAAGTTGCTAACTCTGCAATTTGTGTCTGTTTATCATGGAAGAATGAACAGAACAGTTTACATCTATACTCTACCACTTTATCCTCTTAAAAGGTATGTCTCTCACTCAGTGATATAATTAATTCATATAGAAAGTTTTCAAATCACCACCAATTTATTCTCAATGTAAAGATTGTACCTTCTGGGCAGACTAGTGTCTTGTCACCTCTCATTTCAGTAATTATAGATATGTTTATGCAAGAGGTGAAGTGATTGTCATTTTCAGGAAAGGAAGAGAATAGCGTGCTACAGGTAGAGATGAATAAAGAATTCATTTTTTTCAGATATGTGAATTTTTTTCCAGATATGTGATTTCCATATTCAAAGAGGCCATAAGCAGAAGATTGACACTGTAATTTTTTTAATTGCTATGTAGGATTGAAAAGTGCTAAGTCAAAGAAAATGTTAAAAAAAACTTGAGAAGCATCCTATAAACAAGTTATTTAAAATAATCCAAGCAACAGCTGAAGATTTTAAGATTACAGAAAAAAATCCAGTGAGGGAAGATCAAAGATGGGCTCTTGTTAAAAACATACCAGACAAAGTTGTCATCAAGCTAAGACTAAGCTAAATGACTAAGATAAAAATTTCATACAAAGGTTCAAACGGAAAAGATTACATGGCTCAGGAGGGCTCCCAAACGAAAAAGGATGAAACACAATGTGCACATGCCATTTTCAAACCAAGGTAGCTAGAAGAACCAGGAAAGTTTTAAGACATAAAGGAAAAAGACACTTATAGATTCTGCTTGCTTGACAAGTCAGGCCATGATGGGTTAATTACCCAAAAGGCACTGCAGTGTATCACAGACACCATTCTGAAGATCCAAGCCTTGGGTGGCAGTGTTGTGGGAATGCAGACAATCTTCACATAAAACGTTCTGTTACCCATATATTCTAACTTTTTCCTCTTGCAAGTAACCCAAGACAACTTACAACAGCTCCTCCTCTCCATTTTATCCTCATAACAACCCTGTGAGGGAGGATTGTGAAGACTAGCTCAAAGTCACCCAACGACAGGAGACTAGAATCCAGATCTCCTGAGCTACATACAAATAGAATACAAAATATACCTGAAAAAAGCTGCAAAGCTGACTTAAACATTTTTCCAAATAAATATATAGAGGAGATGTAAAGAAAGGTAGTGGTAATGATGGTGAATAGTGTAATGGTCAAAATTAGAAAAACGTAATCTACCAACTTGATAGAAGGAACAATAATAAGCAAGTCAAATGGTAGTTAAAAGATTCAACCTAAGAAGAAAGTCCTGCAGAACAAGTCTGAAATGTTGATGAACAATGTAAAAGAATTTAAAAACATAGAGCACAAGCTGAACATCTTTCACAGTTAGTATTAAACTCATACTAATCAGGAATACAGTTAAAACTGGCTAACCTATGCCATAGTTTTTTTCAATTGCGTTGATTCAAAAATATGGAATTATGGAGCTGAATGGAACCAAAAAGCCATATAATGGTCCAACTGCAGCTGAAGCCAAGGATCAGCCCACACAATCCAAGTCACGGGGCCCTCAGTCTCATAATCAGAGAGCAGCCACGCAACAGAAAGGATGTCATCCCAAAAATAACTTTACAAGGCTCTTACAGGTGAAGGCTGACAGGCACTACATGGTGCAAAGGAAGGCAAATATGTGATAACTGTTGAAACGTAAATTCCTCTATGTGATTAAATAAACCCTGGGTACTGAACAGTGAAAAGAAAACATGTCAAGGTAAAAAGAATTAAAAAATTACATAAAACCATGGCTGGTGTTTTACTCAGGAAAGCTTCATTTAAATATTTTTTTAAAAAATCTTTAGCAAATGATGAAAACAGCAATGTGGTGCTTGCCTGATATCAACTGGTGGGAATTCCAGAGAGCTAAAAGTAAAAGCTCTGCTGCACGTGGACTGTAAACAGATCTCAAGCAAATGCAGAACCACCATGAGTGCCTTATCAGATGACCTTCGTGACCAGTAGATTGATAAGAGAGAAGGTACAGTCTTGCGTATAATTGAGGATATCGACCTCTGAGATGACAGATGGTTAAGACAATGGCAGGCCAAGAACAGACTAATTTGTTCCGTGGTTAAAAACTGATTTTTTCAAGCCAGTTGGAGTCCTGGGTGGAGTCAGTTAAGATGGCTTGAATCTGGCAAGATTGCTACACAAAACTGGCAAATAAAGATTTGTGAAGATTGGTTAAAACCAAGAGAAGCAAGAGAAACAGGAAGAATGTGATGAGCAGCAAATCAGTGTTTTTGCAAATGGTTTCTTCTATGGATGCTGTTTGAATCCAAAACAAGAAGATCCACACAGCAAACAGTTTGGGACAAGCCTCAAGATTAAACATCAAGGTTCATACACAATATTCCAGAAGATAGTTTTCTCCTGCCTGGCTCCTCCTACCAGTGGGAACAGCTAAACAAGCCAGAGACAGAGTGCTGCTTAACATTACACTTAAACCTAGATTTTGGGCTTTAACCTTTCCTGGCAGGAAAGAGTTGTAAACTAGGGGCTGTATCTCTGGATGTTTAGCAGCTCCTGCAGCCAAGCTGCAGCTATCAAGCCACAGGCATTAGCTCACTCACAGTAACCCAGGTTTAATGTTATATACAAACCAAATCTCACATGACCAAACTGAAACAAATGGATCAATGCAGAGGTCAAAAAATAACATAGTCACAACACTGTCTTCACCAAATGCCTATATAGTAACCACAAATTTTGACAGACCAGGTATTATAAATTCTAACTGATAAATATTTACTGGAAATTTCAGTCAGCACTCTTAAGTTCACATCAAGACAAATGAACATGCTGCTATTATTCAGCATTCTATCAGTCTTATCTCCGACTACTGAAATCTCTCTCTCCCGCTCTGGCCTAGAGAAAGATCCTTCTACCAAAGGAACAGATGAGTTTGGAGAGTGGGAGAGATAGAACACAATACACTGACAAATTGCCTCTTTTTCATGCAGACATACGCAAGACAGAAAGTCATCTGAACACAACTATAACAAATTAACCATGCCTATCATTAGACAATGAAAACTTCACATCTATTGCTCAAGAATGCAGTGTGTCTGAAAACTGGCCAGAGCACAGCAAAAATAGCTGTGAGAATCCAGGAGCATACCTGCAAAATCCAACTCTCTTACTTGAGATTACTCCACCCAGAAGAGCTACTAGTGTTCTCTAACAGTTTGATTTCACAAGTACCAATGCAGATAAGAATAATTTGTTTAGTATGAAGCATGCAATGGAACAAAAACAGCCCTTTTCCACCACCATTCTTATCTTGTATAGAAAATTGTTATCAACATTATCTAAAGGAATCATCTTTATTGAGAAATCTGGAATTTTTGCCTTCAGAGAGAGCAGTTAAAGGCAATCAGGATGCAAAATGTCAGTAAACAGATGTATGGTATAGCAGCTGAAACATTTTGTCTTGATGTGAAAAATACTGGTTGGTCTTGGACAATTAACTGTACCTCAATCTAGTCTACCTCACAGGCAGTGGCAAAAACAACACAGAATAATACCACATAGGCCAGCATTTCCCAACCTGGCACCCTCCAGATGTTGAGGACAACAACTCTCATAAACCGCAGCCTACGAATTATGGGGGTTGTAGTCCCAAACATGTGGAGTGTGCCAAAATGGAAGAAGCTGACATAGGCCACCTTGAGCTCTTTAGATGAAACAGGTGGTACATACCATGTAGAGAGTGATAAATAAGGGATTTAAAAACACACACACACACACATAACTATGCATAAACGATATGAAGACAGATAGGAGAGCACTGCAGTAAGGAGTGGTGAACATGGAAGCAGATGAAGAACCAACAACAGAGTACACAACAGATTTTCTTAAAGTACAAACCACAGGCAGTTACTGCAGGGAGCAAGGCAACAGGCATTAAAGTAACCTAAGTTGATGGCTGAGGAGATGAACAGGGAGAAGAGGGGCAAAAGTGGTCTCAGGAGGCACCAACTAATATGTAGCAAAGATATGTAGAGTTTGGCAAGAATGCCAACAGTGAGAGAGGCTGCTGATGAGAAGTACTGGCTTGCTCTCCACAGGCAAAGGATGTGATGAGGTACCACTATTCTGCAACCCACAGGTTATAGGAACTGGAGATAGGACGGGCAAGCAGTGGGTCAACAAAAGTTCAGATACAGGCTCAGGGAAGGGCATGGGGAAAACTGGGCACACAATGAGCATACGATGCTGGGACCTAAGTGGTTGTATTCTTTGTCCTATCAGTTACCCCTCCAAGGAAAAAAAATCCCATGGAGCAATAACTGGAAATAGGCAGATGTAACAGGGATCTCCTTGCAACGTTGTTTTTAATTCTGCTGTATTTCATACACTTTTTCGATTCTTCCTTTCCTTCAAGCCCTTTTAAGCAGCAGCTACAACACCATACATTTATAAAATAAAATATCAGGGTCGGGTTGTTTATGATTGAAGGATGGTGCTGAGGTGACAGTGATGATAATCCCACTGCTATATTATATTCTGGGTTGAAACCAGGGAGCCGGTTCAGAGCATAGGAGTGAGTGAAGGTGGTATTAGACGAGGAAGGGGATGGGGTTTAGGGAGCTCAACACTCCCGCCCCCCCCCCACCGAATTTGGTTTGGTTCCGCAAGTTATTCCAATCTCCTTCAGGACAGTATTTGTGTGGAGGGTGGGGGGGGGGGGGCGAAATACATATAAACATCCCAAGGTGTACACTGGGATAGAGGTACGATTGGTGCAAATGGGAGGGAGTGGAGAAAACTCGGCAAGAGAAGAATCGCAACCTGAAAAGGTAAATCTACAACTGAAGGGGGAACGGAAAAATGTATTATCAGGGAGGCATTCGCACGATGAGGTCTCACTCTCGCTTCACCCCCACTCTACACGCACTCAGGTCCCCTTCCCCTCACCTGCGAGGCGGCGCTCCCGCAGCAGCCCATGGCGGGCTCGGGGCTGGGTCTCTGCCGCGGGCTCCAGGCATCCAAGCGCCGCGATTTCCCGGTTGCCCGCCCGGCCCCAGGGCGACGGCGGCGGCGGCGGCAAGGCGGCGGGGGAGGAAGGGATGGGGCGGAGAAGGGAGGAGGAGGAGGAGGAGGGGGGCGAGGAGGGGGTCGCCTGCGCCGCTGCGAGTGCCGCTCGCTCGGTCCCTCGCTCGGTGTCCGCAGCGGCGCCTCGCGTCCCTTCACTGAGGCGGCGGCGGCGGCGGCTTCCTCATCCCTCCTCCCGCATCCCAGCGTCGCGCGCCGTTCCTGAGGGCGGGGCTGGGCGCAAGCGGGGAAAGGCGGGTGCGGAAGAGAGGAGAGGAGACGAGCAGTAGCAACAGCGGGCAGCCAGCTTGCTGCCGGGCTTGAGCGCGCCTTGCCTCGGTTCCACCAACCAGGCTGCCTCACGACCTAGAAACAGCCTCGGAACCGTCCCTCTCGGGGACGCGGAAAACAGCCGAGCCGAATTACGGGGAGCACACACTGAGACTCCCCCGCTGAAATCACTGCGGGCAAAAGAGCGCGCGCCTCGTTTCTAGCGCCGCAATGGAATGTGAGGGAGATGGTACGTGGCTCTGTCCAGCACGTTAAAGAAGCCCGGCTCGCTTCCGGCGTGTCTGGGGTATTTTGTTTAAATTTGACGCACCTCGGGGGTTTCCCCCCCCTTTTTGGATGTACCTCCCCGTTTATTTCCTCAGTGCAGGAGGCTGATGAAAGATGCAGCTAAATATAAAGTACGCTAACGTAGGATTTCTCTCTCTCTCTCTCTCTCTTTGTCCTAAGCTTTACCTACCTATGATAGAAGTAAGCCTTATTAAAATCAAGGGGGCTTATTTCTGAATAGATGTGTTAAGATTACGCTGCTGATCATCTTTATTGGTCGTCAGATTCTTGCATGACCTTGGCCAGGTCCCATGCTCTTTCCTGTCCTTCAAAATGATACAGTTTCCAAGGTATACAACCTTTAAATCTCTGTTGTGACTGGAGGGATTGGAAATGGAGAAGGAACACACTAGGGGAACCACACAAGCATATGAAAATTTGAGCATCTGCCAATATTCTGGAATCACGATTTGTTTTTTAGGCAGAGGTTACTGTACTAGAGCAATATTATAGTTTCTTATTCTGAAAAAGAAAATAAGTTCTTGTCAGGATTGCCAAGAAAAAGCTTGAAAATTTACTCCTAGTTCAAAAGAAGAGATGGTTTCAGCTTCCAAAACATTTTTTCTACGTGAACAGGAAAATCTTAGAAAAAGTGCAGTGGCTATGTGGCATAAGGACACTTTTTCCTAGAACATGCCAAACATGAGGAAATGTAATTATATGCAACAAAATGCTACTGCAAAACCTCCTTGGCACATTATTTTGAATCGTGTGCATATATCTCAAAGCTATGGATAGGAGAATAAGATATTGGAGTAGTCCTCAACTTCAGTTGCCCACCTTGAACATGGTAGATATAATAATGTGCATATTGAATTACACTGTTATAAAATTCTGCCTGATATAAAATGTATTGTAGAAATTGCTGTTATTATTTTTTTAGTTGTGCTGCATTGACTTCTTGGCAGAGGTTGTTTTGTAACCTGCATTGCCACCATCCGTCAAAAATTCATGAAGAACCAGTCTTACAGAGATCAGTGGGTCTGCTCTGAAATTGCTGTCTGGCTTCAGCCTAAGTAGGAGGCAGATAATTTCTTTTTCTTATCTCGCAGCTATAGCACATCTATTATTTATTTCTGTACCTATATAGATAGATCTATGTGCCATCAATGTGTGTGGCACAGAGATGAACACAAAGAGGAGAGAAATAGACACATGAATCAATGGAAAGAATGTATTTTGTATGTATTTTGCTTACAACTACTTAAGCTTAGTTTCACCACTGTATAGAGAGGAAGAAGTTGCTCAATGGAAAGTGTAGGTTTGGGAAGGGACTTAAAAAGAAAGGGAGAGGCAGCATCACAAATCTGGGAAGCAGTTCCAGGTGTAAAAGGCAACAAAGAAGAAAGGGAAGGAAGTCAGAGACTCTGCAATTCTGTCTACACTGAATTAGATACTGTATATGTCCCACTGAACTCATTTGGGCTCCTTTTCTGAACAGATATCATAGGATGTGCTATGAATTATCCACAGGCAAGTGCTTAGAACTTCTCAGGCCAGCAGACCAGGCTACAGAGGCGTGAGCTGGAATGTTCCTGCTCTCCACTCTGCTAACTTCTATAGTTTGGTGGGGGGGGGGGTACATAATTATTACCCCCATGAAGTGTCATGAAGTGGGCTTCTAGCATTAGTAGTCAAAAGGTATTCTTGGATAGCCCCTAATTTGGACTCGGATATCCTCCCTGCCTAATGAAACACTTTTTACTTCTCTCTGGGGTTGTCTGTCCAATCTTGGAGAGGCACCCAGCACCATCCTGGCTGCAACAGGTAGGGGAGTGGGGTCAGGGTCCAGTTCCGTGCTCTAAGGTTGGAGCATGATGTCTGACTCAGAGCTGGAAATCCAAAATCCTGTGGCCTCTCAGATGCTATCTAGGGGCCATGGGATCACTTCCTTTATCTCTCAGTTCTTCAGCATTGTCTTGGAAACTCCCCACCATCTTTTCTCAAACATTCTCTTCAGCTTGGTTCTCAGGAAGTCCCTCCAGACAAAGGGAGAGGAAAAAAAACCCTCAGCTTGATAAAGTTATGGTGTCTGCTTTATCTGCTTGATCACAGCCTTTACATGGGTGGGGGATGGACTGTGGCCATTCAGTGAGAGTCAGTGTAGTGTAGTGGTTAAGAGCTGGGACTTCAGGCATCCTGGATTCTATTCCCTGTTCAGCCATGGAGCCAACTGGGTGACTTTGGGCCAGCCATAGATTCTCAGCCCAACCTACCTCACAGGGTTGTTGTTGTGGGGATAAGATAGAGAGGAGGAGAGAATGATATAAGCCACTTTGAGTTTGTAAGGGGAAAGCAGGATAGAAATTGAATAAATAAATAACAGGGCAGGCAATGTGATGATTTCAGGTTGAATCTAGAACTGTCCCTAGGACTGCTAGGAGCAAGAAAAGCAATCATCCCCAAATTATGAAACTATAAAATCCTGCTTTTATTCAGAAAATGTCTGTATTTGAGTTGAAACACATAGGTTCCTTTTATCAATAGAAGAAAGAGAGAAACTCTGCAGTGCTGGAGAAGTCCATCCTTACAGAGGACATTCTTTGAATGTCTGCAGATACTTCCTTCTGCAATCCACCTCAAGACAGCCTCTTTTTTCCCCTCTTACTCTCCACCCTGCCCTGTGTAACATTTTATCTGATGAAGAGAGGAGGATTTCTCAAAACCTTGTTCATCTTTTGTGAGTTTTGGCTGGCTTTATAATGGTATTGCACTGTTGCTTACTAAATAGCAAAAATAGCTATGCTGCTCACGAACCTACAGCTGGGCAACACCTTTATTAGGACCAACCAAAATATTATAGAAAAGTGTGCAAATTTTCCAAGCAGGAAAGAAGCAAAAAAGTCCAAAATTTAGGCAAGATATTGTGACCTTGAGGTCTGCATTATAAACCCAGTGTCAGGATAGAGAGTGTAGACTGGGTGAATTAGCCATTGCTAGGTGTGGCAGGTATCAGATTACACTTGAGATCCTGGAGCAAAAGGAAATAATTGATCCTCAATGGCTGTTCCTAGGATGAAGAGCAAATGGCTGAAAACTTAAAAGCCTGACCTGTCTTCTTCAGCCTGCCTCCAGGGAAAGCACTTTACAGGACACCCTGAAGCAAAGGACTTATACCATCATCCTGTGCAAGCTTTCTTGAGAATAAGTTGTACTGTGCTCAGTGTGGCTTAGCCCTGTAAGCATGTTTAGAACTGCAGCCTCAGTGCCTTATTTAGCCTCAAGATGAAAAGATAAACTGGAATCTGGAGTCTGTAGTTCTACAGCCTCACCACCCAAGGTCCTCTGTGAACACTCAACTGAGAAGACTGAAGGTGTACCTGGAATTCATCCAATAATGCAGAGCAAGGCTCAAGCCAGGATGATGCCCCTTTAAATGTGTGCCAGCTCTCAGCCAATGGGTAAAGCTGTTGTGAGCCCTAGTACTCAAAAACGTAAAAGGATTCTGGACAATGGCAAAGCAATACCCCTTGAAGCGCTACCAGGTTCTGCAGAGCCTGAGCCTGCTTGCTTGTTTCTTGCTAGTGGATGGTTCAGGACTTGCTTAGTGATTATGGGATAATTCTTTGATTTGTCTCAGTGTCAGCATACCTCAATCAAACTTAACAGAAACACACTTAATCCAAACAAGAAGACAGACTGATATTATTATAGCCTTTCTATAAATACAGACCAGTTGGAAGTGTAGACAAGCCAGATGATAAGATGAATCATTTTACAGTCATCCTAAATGGAACAGATTTGCATGTGAGTGATGAATCATGAAGAAGTCTTAGGTGCTAATAGCAAGTGGCTTCACCTCTCCAAAATTAGCCCTAACGCCTTTTCTCAAAATTGAGTGTTTCTCCTCCAATCAATATTTTCAAAATGTATGTGCCTAAATTGCATGTAACACAGTAAGCATAAGATATGGAACCGGCACATCTTGCTAGCTGCACAAGAGATGGATCCCATCATCATTTTATCCACTAAAGTATCTGCATTTGTCCTACTGGTGCATTAACATGCTTCACATGGTCATACCCATTGACTACTGGTTGCCTTAATCTCATCAGCTTGAATGAACTAGTTGGATCAGTTTCCATTTTTTTCTCCAGTTGCTAAACAACAGGTTAGATTTTACGGACACCCTATCTGGTGCAGAGATGATGTGCCAGCAAGCCAGAGAAACCAAACTCTGGAAGGGTGATAAAGTGCCTTTCATGTGTCAAATTTGATAAGTATTGTGTGTGCGGGCAGCAAGAGAAAAGAACTTGCCTTCCTCCTGTGCCCTCAAGTCCTTCCCAGCTATTTTTATTCAAGAAAACAGAAGGACAAACCAGCTTGGGGTGGGGGTCCAGAAGCAAAAGGTTTGGCACAAATTGTGTGCTGTATTGTGAAC